GTTATTATATTTATAAACAAAGTGACTACATATTTTACAATTCAAAATAAAAAATTTGGATTTTTTTTAATTTCAAATAAATAAAAAAAAATATAAAAAATTTGAAACCTGTATTTTTACATTATTAATACTTGATTTTTTGCGCCCATTTTATACTCTATCTGTTCTTAAAAAGAAAAAAAATGGTTTGTGTTTATTCGTAATATAATTATTAATAATGAAAAAAGTGCTAAATTATTATTTATTTCATATATTACAATCAATTAACATTTTGTTATAATTTTTGTTTAAATCAGGCGATTATATCTCTGTTGTTGAAATATTTTTGAATAAGTAATATTGTGTAGCAAAAAATATTCAGGAAAAATGAAACGGGTTTGTTTTTATATTTTTAAAGGAAAAACAAAATTAACTTTATTTTCTTTTATTTTAGAAATAAAAATTAAAATAAAAACAGCGAAATTGTTTATAGTTTTTATATTTTTTGCATATTCAATTTTCACAATAAAAATTTTTACACAATTAAATTACTTTTATTGATATTTAGTAAATAAAAAACACTCTTGTAAACTTTGTTTTTGCATAAAATTGGTTAAAAGTAAAAAAATAATACAACATATAATGATATTTTTTTTTATTTAAGATTGTTTTTTATAAAACTTTAATTGTATTAAATAATACTGTCCCATTTCTAGATTAAAATACAATAATTTTGTAGCTTAGTAAATGCAGCCTTAAACAATGGATTTAATTCTTCAAGTTGTTAAGTAACAACAGCGATTTAATCTTTTTTCGGGTTTTGAAATTCTTTTTGAAAATTATAATTTTAATACAATTATTGTTATTGATGACATTAAATATTATTCTGACTACAATAGATATTGGCACTACACTCAAACTTTTCATATTGTTTCTTATATAATATTACTTTGTGGAATCAATTTGCGTACAAATGCTATATTTATTATAGAACCCAGAGCAACAATTAATGTAATTGCAAATACATCCACACCCTTGAATCTCAAAATGAACAATCAACAAATTATAACATAAAATTCAACACATTTTAACCCCAAAAATTAACCTTCCCAAAAAACCCAATTTTGATATTGTCAATCCAAAAAACAACATCAAATGTTTTGATGTAATTTTGTTTTATAATAAAAATATTCAAGTTATTTCAACTAATCCATATCACATCACATCTGATTTGTTTGATTTATCACATTGTTTGTGTAATAATGATAATAATGTAAATTGCAAACTCAAAAACCAAATTTGAATAAATTGGGTTGATATGTTTGATTACGAACTAAATGGCATTGAATTATTGGTTGACAGAGTAGTGAAAATTGACTATTTAATAAGTGTCAAATAGTCACTTTTTGATAATGTTAAATTGACAATTTATTCAAAAATAAAAGATTTGGTTTGTCAATTAATTGAATTTTGAACATTTTATTTGTTTAAAAAATATTTGTCTGTTTATTTATTAAAAGCTTTTTAATTGAAATTTGAGACCCGATTTTCTAGCCTGAAAATATTTGGCGCATTTATAGTAAATCGGCACACATTGATTACAAACACAACAAATCCTTTTATTACATAAACTATAAATTTTAAATGCAACGTGTTTATATTTTACTTTTCTATAAAAAACTTTATAAAATAATATATTTGTTCATTTTTTAACAAATGATCATTCAAATTATATTTTGGTGTTTGTTGAAACGTCGTTTTATCGCCAACATTGTCCTTTTTATTGATAAACAAACAAATATTGGTTTAAAAATTCAGGAAATTAGTATAAATAATGTGGTAAATATAAATACACCAAAACAAAGATTTTCTATTTTAAACAGAATCCTGATATTTTTCAATTATCGTTTACCTAAAATTATGGGACACTTCTAAAGACTAACTCTTATAAATTTATTGCAAAATGTATTTAATTTAAAAATAAAAAAATAAGTTAGAGTTTAGCCAACTAAAAATTAGATGTGTTTAAAAAATATAATTTTAGTCTCACACTTTAAAGGATTTGGTTTTTCGTGTAAAACTAAATAGAGTTTGTTTTAAAAGTTGTTTGAATTCCCAAAGTAATTATTATTATTAATTTATACCCAAATAATCGTTTAAAATATTAAAATTAATAATAAAATTCGAAAAATGGGAAAATAAATGAAACAACAATTTTATTTTTGTATAGAATACCGATATTTTACCAAATATCATAGACCAAAAAGTACAGAAAAAGCTGACGACGGGACAATGTTATTACTATATTTTAAATTTTTATTTTTTTGCACAAAAGAAACAAAGAAATTATTTCTTTTTTTATTATTAAATTCCACTAATTATTGATATGATTGGAGGAGTTTGTTTGGTAATTATAACCAAATAAATATTTATTTATATTTTTTGTAATTTAATTTGTTGTTATTTTTATAATGTAAGGGGGGTTTGCCACAAAAAAACGAATTACTTTATAAAAAGACTGCAAACTTTTTAATTTCAAAACAGCAATGTTTCTTCAAATATTGTTTTTCACGATATCTTCTGCTTTATTTAAAGAGAAGATCACTCCATATGAAGTGACTCTCCCAGTCAATTTATTAGGAGGTGAATATACTTTCCGAACATACACTCAGGGTACATTTTCTGTTCGTTTATTTCCATCGTCTGATGCCAATAACAACATTTATATTGGGTATACTGATACCAACGGTCTTGGTACAGTCATAAAAGTGAAAGCCAAAACCAACACTATTTTGCGAACAGACAAATTCACAGGATATAGTGTCAGAGGTCTTACCGTGAAAGATGATGGCTCATATGGTGTCTTTCTTTGGAATACTGAGGCTGGTTCTATTTACTTCAGTAAAGTTGATTCATCCGGACAAATACTTTTCACCAAAAATCTTGATTTAAGAAACCTGTATTACCCTTCATCGGTTCCTGCTAGAGGTGACAAAGGGTACGGAATTGGAGACAGTCGCTTAAATTACGGGAATGGATTATTCCATGCATATACGCACACCCACAGTGATGAGGGACACGAAGGTGATGCTTTGTTCACAATATCAGATGATGGGACAGTGAAAACGATATGGGGGTGGGGGTGTTCACACATGACCTCTGGTTTACAAGGGTGGAACTCGCAAACCAATACGATGATTCACATCTGTGATTCTGATGCTTATCCAGCCTTTGGTATGTTTGCTGAGGCAGATAGATCGAATACTTTATATACACATATTGCAAATATGGGAGGATATAGTGGTGGAGAGTTAGGTGGTGTTGTTGAGAATGGTGATGGGTGGTTACTCATAATGAATTCTATAACACCCGAAGTTGTACATAATGGTGTTCCAGTGTATACACCCAATGGTGTTCAAGACATTGGTGTAGTTTCAATTGGAAAAAACAAAAAGAGGACCAACGTCAATTTTATTAAGCAAAATGCCCAAACCAAGAATAATGGATGTATTGCCAAATATGGAGAAAAATTCCTTGTTGGATACACCGAAGATAATACCAAATTTTACTTGGGAACTATAGACTCGTCAGCTACTATGAAGGACCAATTTGAAGAAGTCACTGATGTGACTGGTTGGGGAGATAGAGATGACTCTTTCAGAAGTTTGAACAGTGGAAACATTTTCTGGGTTAAAGCACCACAAAATGATGGAAATAAACTTATCATTTACGAATTTGATACAGCTACGGTGGACCCCACACCTGAAGAGAGTGGAGAAATTAACAATGGAGCTAAGTTGGGATATCTCGCAGTATTTGTGGGAATGCTTCTGATGTTGATTTAATTCAATTTTATTGCAATTTAATTAGAATCGATGTAAAGATTTAAATAAAAGGTCACTATATAATTTAATTATTTTTTGTAGTAAAAAAATAAAATAATTAAGTGAACGATGTTTTCATAGATATCGTTTCTGATGTCGACATCGCACTTCATGATTGAGTTGTAAATTGTCTCGTGGATACCTGATGCTTCCATAACAAGAAATGATGGCTGAAAGAGTTCTTCTGGGCATCTGAATCTTTTGTGCCAATGGTGATAACTTGACTGTTTGAAGGTTTGTTCGATTTTTCAAGTTCTGATGATGAGGCAGATTTTTGCATTTTCTCGTCAAATCAAATGCAAGGCGGCAAAGTTATTTATAGTAACAAGCAATTATTTATTTTTTGAATTTTTATTCCAAATATAATAAGATATTATGTGTTATTTCACACAATTATTTAATGTTGATTTACGATATTTATTCGATGTTCAAATGTTTTTTTGGGATATAAGGATTGAAAATGATAATTATTGATTATAAATTGGTTTTGCACATTGTTGTTTAAAATAGTGCAAATTAAAACTATAAATTTATCCATAACAAATCTTGAAATATCAACTCAATAATTGTGTTAATTTAAATTTATGTCAAGTTATTTATTTTTTATCATAAACTTTTTTGTTTTTTAGCAAGTGACTTTTAATTACAGTATGGTCATTAAACCTTATGTGAAACCTTGAGGCTTATGCGATTTTTTAGAATAATTTTTAGTATTATTATGAAAAACTATACAAAAATAAATCAAATCATAAGTTATTTTGGGTTTTTCAGTTAAATCAAAAAACATTCATTTTATGGAAGAGATAACACCAACGTTTATCGAAACAATCAAGAACAAGGTGAGAACTGGTCAGTATGAAATAGAGTTTAAACAGTTGTCAACAAAAAACACGAGAAAAAAATCATTAACCAAATCTGAAATGAAAGACAATATAAACAAGATGTTTAAAGCGGGAAAATTCAAAACAAAACTTAAAGTAAAAGCATTTGAATTATTAAAGTGTCTTTCTGATGATATTTTCCTAGCCAATGATATAGTCCAACAAATTCAACAAATAGACAAGTTCCACAAGAAGCCATATGGTTCAAAAGGAGCGATCGGTGCATTATTTGGCCTTCCTGGTGGTGCAATACATATCCACATCAATCAAGAGAGTGAACAACCTCAACACCATTGCAATTTTACAACAGAGATGGATTTGGGGATACAGGAAGTGTTCAAGTATTGTGACTCCAATGATAAGGCAGTAACATCATATTTGATTGAACTCTTGTGCAGAGCTTTTGATGACCATTTTGATGTCAAACGAAAAGGTATCATCAGACACATTGAAACGGTTCATAAACGTGTCACAGTTGTTGCGAAGCCAGAAGAAGTAGTGAGACTTCAATGTGATTCAAAGAATGTTGTTGCCAATTTCGAGACCTTTGTCGACAATTTTAATGGCGTTGATGCACAACTTTGTTTCAATGTTGACGAAATTGGCTTTAGTGAACACGCAGACTCTGGAAACGTAAGTGTATTTGCCAAAAGCAAAACTTCCAAAGTCAAAGTCGGCGTTTCAAGATCTTCAAAACGCAGCACGATGTTGGGTTGTATCAATGCAAAAGGCTCATTTATATGCCCAGCAATAGTTATTCTAGTCCAAAATTTCAATTGTAGCTTCTCAGTCGACTTTCCAGATGTTGCTGTTTACTACATGAGCACTGGCTTTGTAAACCGATACACCTTCAAAATGTGGATGCTGACCAAGTTGATGCCTTATATCATTGACACCAGAAAGAAAATGAGTATTCCCGAAGAAAAATCTGTAATAATTATGGATAATTTCGGTGCACACGTTGACCAAGAAATGAAAACCGTTTTTGAATCGAACAACGTGTTTTTTCATTTCATTGTACCACATTCGAGTCACTTGGTGCAGCCACTTGACTTGTGCCTTTTTGGTTCCATCAAAAAGGCTTTGCGTAATTCAATTCCAATGTTTATGAGCAAACAAAGTACGCAAAAAACAACAATCGAGTGCTCACATTCAAAGTTGACAAATTCTGTATTTAGAACATCTTCAATCACGGCAGAAGTCGAAACTTTCAATAAATTACAACCACAAATTGAGCAATGGATCAAGCAGCTAGACGATCCAATTAGTTCATCTGGTTTGATCAATGAACGAGCTGAGTGGGGAAGTAAGATGACCAGTGTCATGAAAAAAGTAATGAGAGAAGTTTATAAAAGATCTGATATTGAAACAATCAGAAGCAGTTTTAGGAGAGCCGGTTTCTTGGTAGTAGTGAGAGACAAAAGACCCAGAGTTTATGTTGATATACTATCAGCCAAAGTATTTCTGTCAACTTTAAATGTTATGCCAGAACAACGAGTAATGGAGAAACTGAGAGCACCAGAAAACATGATGTTTAGAAACAAAGCAATTGTATGCAATGAAGAAGTTGTAGAAGAAGCTGTCAACAGATGGAGAAACTATGATCAAATACCAAAAAGACAAAAAGGAGAGAGATCAATGCAATGTGGAGAACGCAGCAAAGAAATTCCTCTTTGTGACAGAATTATAATGGAAATGGATTTCTGTGATAAAGATGGAGTATTAAGACCAATGACGATAGAGGAAATGAAACAAAGAGAAGAGGAGGAGATGAATTTTGTCGTTGGTGATAATTAAATCATTTTGATTTATTATTTAATTTGATAATAGAACACATTTATATATTATTCAGTCTCTCCTCCATCATTTAGTCTCTTTATCTTAATTTTATGTTTTTATTCAGTTTTAGTTCTTTATATTTTTTTCAAACAATGATTATTTAGTTTATTTTAGTTCAACTCTTTTTGTTGATTTTTATTTTGTTAAATTTTCTTCTTATTTTTTCCAAATCAATCTTTTTTATTTTTGTAATCGCATAAGGCTCATAGTTTATTTTTTTCGTTTTTTGTTTAAAACTGTGTTTTTTGCCTTTTTAATAATAAAAGTATTGATTTTTTTCTATCATTTATAGTTTTTTTGTATTCAGAAAATCGCATAAGGTTGCGGGTATCACATAAGGGTGAATACCACATCTGTAATTTAAACCATTTTATTGTTTAGCAATCTTCAAATAAAAACGCAAAAATGTTCTTTGCCTTTAATTTGTTAAAATAGTATTCATCAATTAAAAATACCTATAAATGTCTTGCATTATTAAAACAATTGAACAATATCGGTAACCTTATTGTATTTATTTTTTAAATTTTAAACAAAACTTCCTTTTAAAAACACAAAACACAATTAGTTACAAAATCAATCGAATAAACAATACATTATAAATTATCTAATATTTTTAACTATAACTGTTAACAAAATAATAAATGACAATTGTTTGCCTATTTTTTATTGGTCCACTGTTTTCGAATAACAGATAGTCGTTAATTTAAAATATTTTTTAAAATTATCCCTTTAAAACAAAAATTATTTTAATATTTTTGTTATTTGATGTGTTTAAATAACATTATTTTACCATTATTGTCATTTAAAAAATAAATTATAATTTCATTATAATTTCATTATTATTATATTATTATTTTAGACTTTATATAATTAATAGTAAAATAATATTATAAATATAGTATGTAATCGATTTTAACATCCAAATAATTTAAATTGTTATCTATATAACAACTGCATCAAATATATTACATAAACTGTTTTTCAAAACTCTGTACTGGGATGCCCCGATTTTTTAGACAAACAATTTCTAAATATTTTTTCTTTGCTTAACCCTCATTTTTTGTTATAAACATTTACTCGAAAAAAACAAAATAACGAACATGACTTTTTTAAATTTTACTTGACAAATAAATCTTGCACCAAAAATTTACTTGAAAAATACAAAAAAACAAACTTGGGATCAAAATTTTGATTACCATAACACAAATTTTGCCAAAAAAATTATATAATTCAATGTCTACTTTTACGGAATCAACAGGTTATGTCACAGAAAAAATGAAAAAGTATGAACAAGTAAAAATTGCATTGAGAGAAGGGAAATCATTTGGAACAATTTCAAAGGAGTGCGGAGTATCAAAAGACACGATTACAAAAATTAAAAAAAGGAGAAGAAGTTAAACCGAGAAAAGTAAAAAAGCGCAAGAAAGGGGATACTCAAGTTGAAGTAAATGTGGTTGAAAAGACTTTAGGTAATCCATATTCTTCGTGTTTTTCTGTTTCTTCTGTTTTAAATATTTCAAATTCTACGGTATATCGCATAAGAAAAGCAAACAAATTTATATTCACTAAACAAATTAAAAGACCAACAATGACCACTACACATATAGCAAACCGTTTAAAATTTTCCAAAACACAAATTGGAAATGCTAAAAATTTGAATAGATGGTTGAAGAACACTATTATCTCCGATGAAGGCAGATTCTGCATGTATTCTGATGGCAGATATGTCTGGAGGAGAAAGGGGGATCTAAATGAAGAGGCGTTTGTTCCAACCCCAAAATACAACAGAGGAGTGATGGTATGGGGAGCTATTGGCAAAAACTTTAAATCAAAATTGGTTTTTGTTGAAGGTAAGCTAAATGCTGAAGGCTACCAAAAATTGCTTGTGGACTCCAGTGTGTTTGTGGACGCCCACCATATTTACAAACACGGAATGACATTTCAACAAGATGGTGCCAGACCTCACACTGCAAAGAGTACAATAGAATGGTTCAAGACTCTTGACAAAAAGCTCAGAGTTTCGGTCTTGAAAGATTGGCCAGCAAACAGTCCAGACTTGAGTCCCATTGAACACCTTTGGCACTACCTTGACTTGATTGTTCGAAAAGAAAGAGAAGTGTTTGACAGTCTAAAAGAACTAAGAGCTGCTCTTATAAAAGCGTGAGATTTAATTGAAATTGAAACAATCAATGCTTACATTGACTCATTACCCAAAAGATTTGAACTATGCGTTGAAAATAA